TTTTTGTCACAGACCCGTGACATCATCATCATGGTCCATGGGTGTTCTGAAGACCAGATTTGGTCTGAAGTCCTTCTGCTCCCAACGCCCTGTCTCTCTTAGACCAGATTTGCAAAGTAAAGAAAGGGAACGTCTGGGAAAATTTAGATCAAAATCACTTTTAAAATGACCTCAGTATCCTCATAAATGGTCACTGCAGCCACAAGGGCTGCAGGATCACAGTCACTCAGTGTGGGGTGCAGGCAGGAACTCTGCCAGGGGCCCTGGGCCGGGGCCAGGACTTACTCTGTGTGAGCAGACCACAGTAGATAGGTAGGCAGGTAGCAGCTGGCTCCTCTCATATCCTTGCCACATGAGGAGGATTCTGGGAGTATTGATTCTGGGCCCCATTCTGGTAGAGAAGGGCTGTTTTGTATGTCCCCTAACTTGAGGGTCCTTAGAGACAGGGAGTGAAGGTGGGAAGGTGGAGACTTTCAGCGGGTGTAGAGGAGGAAGGGGATGTGAGTTTGGTGTCTGGCACATAGTATGCACTCAATAAATACCTTGTGAATGATGTGTGGAATGTGTGGCATAGTTTATGGTGAATATAGAGCCAGCCAAACAAGTCTGAATTCTGGTTCTACCACTAACTGCTCTGTACTTCTGTCAAATTCCTTTATGTCCCCAAATTTCAAGGACATGAGTGCCTGTACCAGACAGGAGTCTTCTTTGCAAATATCAGAAGCCATACTCCTACTAGCTTAAACCAAAAAGGAAATTTCTAGCTCACACAGCTGAGAGGGGCACAACAGCAAGAGCCGGGACCTTGAGTCAGGACCCAACGTCTCCAAGACCATTTTTCTCCTTGTCTTTGCCTGACTTCTGCAGACAGGCTCTGGCCCTGTGGCAGGGAAGGTGGCCATTTGCAGCCCAAACTCAGGTTTGAAAAGAGGGCTTCTCTCCCTCAACGTCAACATATCCACCTCAGAGAAGGCTTTGATTGGCCCTCCTTTGGGCCTAGCCAGACCTAGATCACATGCCTGGTCCTATGGTAGGGAAAGCAGGCTGTGTTACCAGGAGAATGGGGATGGGAAACCCAGGTGGGCAGAGAAAACAATTATGGTACCTACAATGCCTAAAGGTCATGTGTGTGTGTGTGTGTGTTTGTGTGTGTTAGGGAAGCCACAGTTAGAGGGAGCCCCTGAAAATGGAGCATGCAGGGAGGACCAGAAGCAGGCTTGGCCTCTTCAGAGTCAGGATTATTATTGGATGACAATCATTCGGCTCTATTATACATGAGGCTCTGTGTTAGGTTAAGTATATGTTATATATACATAATTTCTCATTCTCACAACACCCCTAAGAAGTACGTATTACTAGCCGCGTTTTATTTATTTTATTTTATTTTTGTGAGGAAGATTGGCGCTGAGCTAACATCTGTGCCCATCTTCCTCTATTTTGCTTGTGGGTCGCCGCCACATCATGGTTTGATGAGCAGTGCCTCAGTCCACGCCTGGGATTTGAACCTGTGAATGCTGGGCCACCAAAGCGGAGCTCGTGAACTCAATCATTATGCCACCAGGCTAGCGCCAATGAGCCCTGTTTTAAAAGTGAAGAGAGGGCCAGCCCCCGTGGCTTAGCGGTTAAGTGCGCGCACTCTGCTACTGGTGGCCCGGGGTTCGGATCCCGGGCGCGCACTGACGCACCGCTTC